AAGATCAGAAGTAAAAGAGGGTTCCCAGAAGGTAGTTCGACCCGGTCTCCAGAGGTTCTCTATCCGTGCTGGCGACGGACGACGTGCGAAGGAAGGCGTGAGTACTCTCTCTCTCTCTCTCTCTCTCTCTCTCTCTCTCTCTCTTCGCGTCGCGTCGCGGCATGTTTAATCGGTAAGCGCAATCGGTATGAGCCGTAATAGTACGCGTAATTAAATTGATAATTACTTCAATAACCACGATACTAAATAACCGTCTTTTAGAAACAAACTGTAAACGACTTATTGTGATTGACCACATTCCAGACGCTGAATGATTAAGTATATCGAAAGCGACGCCCAGCCCGGCCGGCTCGGCCTAGCCGGAGGAGCGTCTCTTTCACAATTCGACCATTGAGGCTGATATTTTTAAATTTGACGGTAAATGTGACAGGAAACTTTATATCAGCATTATAACTCAAAATCCGATAGGTACCTATAGAAGATAGAGTTAGAAAGTAAGTGGGGGAGAGACTAAGAGAGCATGAAGTATGCTGCCCCGTGGAGCCCCCATTAGAGGGGAATATAATCCCGTGGAGCTAGTTAGAACTGGTTTTCTATTTCTACCTGCCTGAATTTCTTTCTAGAAGATCTTCTACGATCAGATAGCTGGTCAGGTTTTATATTTTAGACCTGTAAAAGATGGAGTGAGAAACCTAAATGAAAGAAAAAGAGAGAACATCGGGGAAAAACGGAAGAAAATCTTCTTCGGAGGACTTCTAAAATCAATAAGAAAACAATGCTAAGGAATTTTTGCCTAAATATTATTCTTAGAATGTGTATCCAGAATTCTTTCTTAACTTTTTATTTATCTACCCAAGCGCATGATATTATTTAATATTAAGTAATAGGTATATTCTAAGCATAATCTTAGAACATCAAATACAATATTCTAGTAATATTGTATAACATTAAATAATATTTCTAAAGGATATTGTGTGAAGTGACTATATAGCATCAACAGAATAATCCTATGATATTAGAAAAAAAGTGTGCAAATTAGAAACTTGCACATTGCGGAGCTCCGAAGGGTTATAGAGCAACAGCCCGGGAAAAAAAGATTATATATAATTATATATAATTATATATATAAATATATATGATTATATATGATTATATATCAAATTTGATCTTTTACATGAAATTATATATGGGTCCATATATGATTATATATAGACATATATAATTCCAAATATAACTAGATATATATGAACAATAAATCATATATGCACTCATATCTCTCTTTCTCTTTCTCTCTCTCTCTCTCTCTCTCTCTCTCTCTCTTTCTCTCTCTTTCTCTTTCTCTCTCTTTCTCTTTCTCCCTCACTCACTGTTAATTCTGTGTATATTATTATATATACTATGTGATAGATTATATAAATTGATATCTTGAAAACTATGCATCGTAGCGCATTGTGGTTTGCGGCATTCTTTTTCTCAATGAAAGATCTATCAAATACACCTATCATAAATTGAGGCGCCCCGGAAATAAAATTCTTGCCGTATTTATTAAACTTATTATATGTATATCAGTAATTACCCAACATCCCACTATTATTTGGTTTTACCCTCTGGCATAAATCACATTCTTTCATTGCTTTTTTAGTATCTTTATGCATTTTCTTCCAATAATATAATCGATTTAAATATTTCAGAGTCTTATACATGCCTATATGACCCAGAGTGTTATGTACTTCGTCAATTAATCTTTTTGTTACTGTCTGAGGAATAACTAATCTCCATTATTCGAATATTTTGTTTTTTGAAATAATATATCCTGATTTAAACAATAACCTTTAACATCTTTATTATTTTTTATTTTTTCAACAATCGCGTTTACTTCGCTGTTTTCACGCTGGAATCTTTTAATATTTTTAATTTTATTTTTTAAATTATTTTCCGGGAACGTCTTTACTACTTCGTGAATTTCTCACTGGAAAAAAAATGCTGCTAAATTAAAAAAAAATGTGGTTGCTTCAATTAAACGTCGACGTCACGGGCTGCCAGAAAAATAAGTAGTTCATTTAATTGTATTTGCTATTGATTTTTATTTTAAATATGTATGTTAAAAGAACAATATATAAATTTCAATTAATGATATAGGATATTGCATTAAACGTATATTGAATTATAAGAACGCTACTAAATTACGAATTGAATTACATTGTAATCTAGGATAATAATATATATGATTGTTAAAATGACGTACATTATTCTTTCATTATAAATTGTACTGGAATCGACTCATTTGAAATTAATGTTAATTAATTTTAAAGTAATATACAACAAATGTTGTATTGTATCAACTTAAAATGGAATAAATGCAACCGTACTTCTACTTAAATCTTGTACAAGTTATATTTTATTTGATTGATCATATAATCCAATATACAAATTATACATTTAGTTGTTTTATACGTACGATTGATTTAATCATTGTCGCTTGTCCTGAGAAGAAAAAAGTAATTCTTTTAAAAGTATTTTTATTTGAAATGTATCAGTATGTTTTAAAAGTAAACACAAAATTATTTGATTACATTTTTCATACAGATGAAGCTACGTTAAACTTAAATATACTTTAATTGATTAAATATGTTATTCAATATATAACATACGTTTCGCTCAATTATTTTAACGTTTAAATAAATAGTTGTTAATTGAAAATGCTTAAATAAATTGCGCATGCAAACAAAGCTACAATACGTTTAATCATATTAATCTATTATATTTGAATGAAATGAACCACTGATGCTTGCTCTAAGAATAAGAAAACTGTTGTTTTGAAAGCAAGTGAATTTATTTAGATCATTTAAGGATGTTTTATACGTATAGCTATATGTAGTATAATTTTGTTTTCTTGATTGAACAGTGTAAAGCTAGTCTCAGAAATTATTCATAAACATATTATTATTGGGACAGAAAAAGCGTAAAAATTGCAATTTTGTCGCATTTTGTACTTGATATTGTTAAAATAAATCATTAAAAAATTGAAAAAAAATATTAGAAATACAGAAAAACTTAAAAAATCGTAATTTTTTGTTTATAACTTTATTGGAACATCCTCATGCATGACCTTAAAGATGTCTTGTAACATTTACCGACGACTCTACTTGACGATTTAGATTTTTACTTGAAATGGACAAAAACTATCAAAACGTCGTGAATTTTGCTTCCTTTAACTTTATCTACAAAATCAATATTTAAATTTTCGAATTTTTTATTTCTCATAATGACTCCTTCTCTCTTTTATATTAGAATCCATATGCTTATAATTGTGTAACCAAAAAATCTTACCTAATTTATCTACTTATCTAACCTCGTCTTGTCAGTAAATTCCGTCGAGAAATTATGCCGCACATGTATATCCACGTCACTGTTCACCGTTACGTAAAGCCACGCATATGCCATGCTGCCATGCAGCCTGGCTCGAATCGCAACACGAGACCGGTATATTCATAGTCGGATCTTATATTTAAAACCGTCTTAAGTACGATTTTAAGATGTTATAAACCAATCACAGAGCCATATTAGCATCTTAAGACATTACCTAAGACGGTCTTGAAATAAGATCCGGTTATGAATACCAGCCTAATCAGCTTTAATCTCTGAGATATAAGTACACTGGAAAGGGCACTGGTTTGGCCATATAGACTTAAAAAGAGATAGATGGAGCGTAAGCTCCGGAAACATTCGGACGCTCGACAACACACGGACACATATGTGCGACACGGATCACGGATGTGTCTCCAGTAGTCTCCACTTGTGGTGTGGAGCATGTGGAGGGAATGCTAGCGCATCAAAGCTAGAGACCCCATAATCAGAAGAATCTTGCCATACGGTAACAGACTTTTGATTGGTCCGCCATTCTCCTCAAAAGCAAGAGAAACAGAAAGAGAAAGAGATATAAGAAAGAAAGAGAAAACGATATAAATGTATATCTGATATAAACGTATTCCTCTCTTATATATATCCTTCTCTAATCAAAGCACAGGCACATCTGTGTGCTGTCGAGTGTCTCGAATGTTTCCTCCTTCTTCCTCTGACATTGGCTCTCAAGCAGTTCTGCTCCAAAAACGGCCGGGACGAACCAATGGTCGTGACCTGAATGTTTCCGAGTCTAACCGAAGTTTGTCGAAAAGGACATATCCAGCCTCTTGCGTTGATTTCAGGGGTGCAGACCAATCACTGCTTTATATCAGTTAGTTATATATCTATTACTTCTGGAAAAGCAAGACGGTGATTGATCACCTCTAACCACCATTTGTAATTCCAATGCCGACGAGTATCGGAAAATACGCGATATATCTGTTCTCACAACAAAAATATTAATTATTATTATAAGTCTTTGGAAACGTCTCAACTACAAAATTGTGTTATCAAAAATGTAATATTCTATTTAAAAAATTGAAGGTGACTTTTATATGACCTTGAAAATAGATTTTTTTCGAAAATTAATTTCACCATA